TTTCATGTACCTGTCCAAATGTGAAAGTGCACTAATGAAACTTAGTTTGAGGGAGTGGAGGGGATAATGAGGGAGAATAGTGAGGTTAAAATAACCCCTGTGAAATGTACTCTTGTATTCTGGCTGACCACAGTTGAATAATACTATAAATCAATTCCAGGTGAAATTAGAAAAAATATTGAAATACATGGAGATTGCAAAATACATTGTTTGAACAACTAGGAAAATAAATGATGAAATAAAAATAAATATTAGAAAATCTAAAGTAAGTGTGAAAAGTAACTTGCTAACATTTTTGTCTTCACCAAATAAAGTGCTAAGAAAAAAGTTTAGAGCTACAGTTATATACATTAAAACAACAGCAGCAGCAACAAAAAACTGAGATCTCAAACAAATAACTTAAAAATGACCAAATCTGCAGAAAAGAAGAAACTAAACCTATGCTTAGGAAACAAGAAGAAATAATAAATGATAAGGCTTATGTTAATAGAGAATTAAAAGTACGAAAAAGATTCAAAGAAACAGAAAAGTTCATTTTTGGAAATGTAAACAAGACAAACAAACCCTTACACAAAGTAACTCAAAGTGAATACAAGGCTCAATTGCATAAAATTGTAGACAAGATGATATTAACATAAATAGCCGTGCTTTAGATGATTATTATAAGGAAATACTTTGAAAACTATAATCAAATAAATTAGAAAATCTAGAATAATTAGATAAAATTCTAGATGTATTTAACTACCAAGTCTGAGCCAAATTATCATAAACCCTTGAAACTGATCTGTAGCAATTAAAAACACTGTGGGGAGGGGAGGATCAATGAGAGGAGAAAGGGGGAAAACAGAAGTTCCTAGTAGGTTCTACAGAATCAAAATTGTGTGTGTGTGTGTGTGTGTGTGTGTGTGTGTGAAATTAACATGAGATACTGAAAACAGCACAATACTTATGCATTTCTTCTTGTATATAGTCAAATAAATATTCTTTACACAGAGTAAAATGATTAATACAATTATAGTTTAAAGGGGTTCTCATAGACTTATCAGAATTTTAGTGCATTCTGTTTCTTTTTTATTTTCAATATATGTATATATATATATTTATGGTAAAAATACTGTACAGAGGGCTTACAGTTACATGAGCAAGGTAATGAGTCCATTTCCTAATAAGCATTAGAAAACTTTTTGCGCATTGCATAATCATGCTTTCCAATGCAAACCCATTAGCACACAATTTTCCATCTTAAAGTTTTATAATTCCATTTTATAGTTTCAATCTTAAAGAAATACTTCTCTGAAAATTTCTATTCCACATTACTTTAAAATGGAATGTTCTTTAATACCCTGTAAACATTAGATTTATAAATTAGTGTAAATGTTAGATGTCAATTTTGGAAATAAGTTTTTGTGTTTGTTTGCCCTATGACTTGATAGTGAAATAATCACCAAAGAAAATAGAATGCATGATAAAGTACTCTTCTGAGCAGATAGGGGAAAACTGTTGTATAAAATATTAATTTAGTTAGAATGGCTTTTAGCCATTTTAGTCAAGATGAATGTGCTTAATCAAAGTACTGAAGAAAATGAACTAATGAGATTGAAATGACAAAACTCTGCCTTTCAAATTTAGTGATAGATTTTTTTTAAAGAATTTATTTTTTGGGGGCTGGGAAGGTGGCTCAGTGGTAGAGTGCTTGCCTTGCATGCATGAGGCCCTGGGTTCAATTCCTCAGCACCACATAAGCAAAAAAAAAAAGAAAAAAAACCAGAAGTGGTGCTGTGGCTCAAGTGGTAGAGCGCTAGCCTTGAGCTGAAGAGCTGAGGGACAGCGCCCAGGCCCAGAGTTCAGGCCCCACAACCGGACCAAAAAAAAAAAAAAAAAGAAAAATAACAAAAGACTTTATTCTAATGAAAACAACATTTTGTTTTATTACAAATTAGGACATAATTTTCAAAGTAGACTGTGTCTATAAATTATCAAAATTTCTAAATTACAAAAAGGAAATAGACTCACTGATATTTTTAATGCAGTCATTTTCCCCTTGTGACATTTGCAACATTATAAATCCTGGGTATACTAAACAGTGGAATCTCTGCATGAATCACCTTGACAATTATTTAAAAAATTACACTCAAAGAAACAACTGCCCAATAAATAAGTGGGCTAAAGACTTAAAGAGAAACTTCTCTGAAGAGGAAAGAAGGATGGCCAATAGACACATGAAGAAATGCTCAACCTCTCTAGCCATAAAAGAAATGCAAATCAAAACAACATTGAGATACCACCTCACCCCAGTTAGAATGGCTATAATCTAGAACTCTAATAACAGCAGATGCTGGGGGTAGTGAACCAAAGGGAACCCTACTGCATTGATGATGGAAGTGTAAACTTGTTCAACCAGTATGGAGGTTCCTCAAAAGACTCCACATAGAGCTCCCCTGTGACCCAGCAATCCCACTTTTGGGCATTAACCCAAATGATCACAAACAAGACCATACTAAAGCTATCAGCCCAACTATGTTTATTGCAGCATTATTTACCATAGCTAAGATATGGAACCAACCCAGATGTACCTCAGTAGATGAATGGATCAAGAAAATGTGGTATATATACACACTGGAGTTCTAAGACTCCATCAGAAAGAATGACATTACCCCTTTCTTTGGAAATGAAAACACTTTGAAACTGTATATTAAGTGAAGTAAACCAGGCCCAAAGAAACATAGATCCCATGGTTTCCTTATTTGCAATAACTAGTATGTGTCTGAGACACGCAGAAACGGTCAGATAAGTTGATGTTAGGCAAATTGAACCCCAAGATAAGGACTCAAATGTTTTTTCTTTGTTGCTATTGTTTCTAACATATTTATAACATATTTCTTTGTTGCTTTGTGTGTCCCTCCCCCATGTCATAACCCCTGTTTTCACTGTATTTGATGTCGATGAAGTTTGGGGAGAGGAAGGGAAAAAAAACAAATTATTTAATTAGGGATACAGGTGGACCCATTGCAACAATGAGATGTACAAGACGTTATGTCGAAAACGAACTTTACAACTTTGGCGCTGAGGTGGGGCTGGGAAGAGGACAGGGTTGGGGATAGGGAGATGGGAAGGGGTGGTAAGGGGAAACAAAGGAGGAGGCAACAATCCTTGATACGAAATGTACTCATTACCTTGCTCATGTAATTGTAACCCCTCTGTACAGTATTTTCACAATAAAAAAAAACATACAAAAAAAGAAAAATACTTCCCAGCAAGAATGACTGATCAGACAGCCAACTGCCTTTAAGTAATAAAAGGCCTCAAAATGTGAAGTAATAACTACAGAGCAATGGTGTCGAGGCTGGATACTCTTTATTTCGTAAATAATATATCACTAACAAAAATATATTCGTTGGAAGGTCAAGGGTTTAAGACAAATACCATATGCATATTTCTAAAATAGTACTTCACAAATTACATGATAATTTTACTTCTTGAGAAACATCTATGTGAAAAAGCAAAGCCTTTAGTCTTTGAGTTTCCATTCTTGAACTAATGCCAAGTAATCTTCCTGTAAACTTGGCCCCTGAGAATGACACATTGTTGCCTGGTTGTCCATGAACTCTAAATAAAGTGGCCTGGAACTAACTAGTGTTACAGAAGGAAGACTCATACTTTCTTACAGATATTCATGCTACCTTCTTGGAATTCTTCTGAGGCAGACATTCCTGGTAAAATTTCCACTTATTCAACTTGAACAAAATTTTTATAGTGATTTAATTTTCATTACAAATAAAAAAATAAATATTCAAAAATAAAAATAGCTTTTAAACTAGGAATTAAATGCCACATTGTAAATAATTTCTGACCCTAAAATACTTTCATATTCTATTTCTGAAACAAATTGGGGTTGATGAATTCTGTGCTGTTGGAAGAATACTTTGGCTCCCAGTTTTAGTGTTATACTGTAAAATTGGAGAGATTTATCAGGTGGAAAACTCAGTGCTTTGCTGAGAAAAATAAATGTCCACCTAGTGTTTGTGTCTAAGCAATGTGAGAATTTGTAGTTGCATACTGAGAGAGTTGATGGAATTAGAGTCTATGATGTCCATGATTTAAAAAATAGAATTTTGGAAGAAATTTTATTTAAAGGATCAATGTAAGAAAATGTGGTATTATCTGGAAAAGGATAAGTAAGTGTGGCATACAAACCTAATACACTTCATAGAATAGGTAAAGTGAACTTAATTTGTAGCTGACCAGGAAAACTAAGGAACAACATGTGAGAAATTAAACATTGCTGTTTCATTCTTTATTTAATCTCCTTCTTTTGTTCAGCTTTGCAGAAATAGCTATCAACTGGAATAGAGCATCCTCACCTTGGGATGTGAAAGGCACCATGTGTATTTACAAAAACTTCAGATAAGACATTTAAGCCTTTCCATATCTATAACATGTTACAATAATAGTGTGCATGGTAAAAAACACTTTATGGAGATTCAATATGGTAACTATCCCTGGGAAGTTTAGATCCCTTCTAAATAAAAACAATACCATTTTATATAGCATATCCAAATGTCTCTTTGTGTCCAAAGCTATTTGTGACAATTGTTTTTTGTTAAAAAAATAACATTTATTTTCACTTTTGAGACAAATTAATTATAAAATAATAGTGGTTTTGTCCAGGTGTGGTAGGCCATGTATGTAATTCTAGCTACCTGTAATGCTGAGATCTGAGGATCACTGTTCAAAGCCATCCTGGGCAGGAAAGACTTTGAAACATTTTTATCGCCAATTAACTATCAAAAGCCAGCAGTGGAGTTATGGTTCAAGTGCAAGAGTACTAGCCTTGAGCACGAAAGGTCAAGAACAGCACCTAAGCCATAAATTCAAGCACCTGGATAGGCAAACACATAGATAAACACACCCAGGAATAATGGACACTTTATAGATTAAAATTTTTGAAGTAATTACTTCTAAGAAACCTGTAGTTTCACAATAGTTAACATTTGCCCATTATGTATTCCTGGAATAACACCAACGTGCCCTACTTCATCCTTGTGGGATTAACAGACTCTCGAGAAATGCAGCTGCTCCTCTCTCTGCTCTTTGTCCTGATCTACGTGATTTCTGTGGTGGGTAACCTAGGTCTGACATCCATCATTTGGCTGGATCACCAGCTTCACACACCTATGTATTTTTTCCTCACTCACCTTTCAATCCTTGATCTATGTTATTCAAATGTCATCACACCTAAAACCTTAGTGAACTTGCTGACTTCTTCCAAGAGCATTTCCTTCGTGGGCTGTTTCACTCAGTTGTACTTTTTCGTTCTGCTTAGTGCTACAGAATTTTTTATCCTCACTTCCATGGCCTATGATTGCTACATAGCCATCTGCAACCCTTTGCACTATCCAGTGATTATGTCACCAAGACTCTGCCGAGCCCTACTCACTGGGTCCTACATGGTTGGCTTTCTGGATGCCACTGTCAATAATCTTTTCATGCGCAGACAAGATTTCTGCAACTCCAACAAAATTCATCACTTTTTCTGTGACACATCCCCGATTTTAGTCCTGTCCTGCAATGACACCTATGGCACTGAAATGATGATAATGCTCCTTGGTGGTTCCTCGATAATAATATCACTTATCATAATATGTGTGTCCTATGTCTGGATTCTCTCGACTATTCTGAAAATCACTTCCACTTCAGGAAAGCAGAAAGCCTTCTCCACCTGTGCCTCCCATCTCCTTGGAGTCACCATTTTCTATGGCACCATCATTTTTACTTATTTAAAACCCAAGAAGTCCTACTCGCTGGGAAAGGATCAAGTGGCTTCTGTGTTTTATACTATTGTCGTTCCCATGTTGAACCCACTCATTTATAGTCTGAGAAATAAGGAAGTGAAAAATGCTTTCATTAGGGTCATGCAGAAAAGAGGAGGGTTCAGACAATTAAAATAACAGATGCTAAACATTTAAACTTATCTTTTGTTTTTGTCTTGTTTGGGCTTTTCTGTTTCCTCTCTCTAAAAGCAACAGAATTAATTTTTCTGAAGCCATGCTTTCCTGCACAAATGCATTTTTAAACATTGCCTTGGAGTATGGTTATAAGAGTCGATACTGTAATTTGAAATCATGAAAAATGTATCAAGTATATGACCTCTATACATGATGTTTTTAAGGGCAACTAATGTTTAAAACATGAAATCCCAGGAGTTCTACTGATTTAAAGTATTTTGTTTTGACAAAGATAAATTTGTAGCACAAATTGTGTGATTTGTACCAATTATTTGCAATTGAATTTATTCACAAACAGAAAATAAGATAAAAAGAAAGCATCTGGCAGTGCCAAAATCTGATTTTAGAATTAACTGTTGAAGAAACATTAAGGCATTGTGCATATATTTGAAGAAAACTTGGAAAATATTGAAATTGGCTTCATAAAAGGAAGCAATTCACTTAAAATCTGATGCTTAGTAATTTTGTTTTTGTTTGCTTTGTCAATGAAAGATGGGAATGAATATGTTCTCAATGTTGGGAAAAATCCAGAGGCATGGAATACATTAGACCCAGAATAGGTTAAATGTATAAAGTTAATTATACTCATGCCTTTAATAACTCTTATATGTCTATCTGCTAAATGTTTGAAATCTGTGCCTATCTGTCTTATGTCAAAGAATTTAATGAATTGCTTCATTGCATTTTATCAGATTCCTTCGAGTTTATAATACTCTATGATACATAATACTTGACTCACTTAAAATTTAATAAAATGTATAGGGCAAAGAATTGACAATAAATTAGGTTTGCCACATCCGATAATTGTGTTATCTGGACAAGTTATAAAATGTCCTTTATTTTTAATTATGTTCTCCATATGATGAAAGTAGAGCTTGTATTTTTCACTAGTGAAGGTTATAACCGTCCTCTTTTTTTCTCTGGTCTTCCCTCACTCCTTCCTTTCTTGAAAAGTGTCACCCCTCCCTTTGCTTTCTTGTAGTTTATCTTTCCTGTTCCCACCCACAAGTAATATACCACTCTTGGCATTCATGCAGAGTGAGACCAAAGGTGGATATTCTTAGTAGAGGATCACTAATTCTCAGTAGCTCTGTGGATATGCTCCTATAAAATAATATTTTTCAAAATGAACTTCAAGAAATAGAAAAAGAGGGCTTTTGTGTGTTTGTTGCTGTTTTTGTTTCCTTCTTTTTGTCTTGTTTGTTGGTAGGTTTGGGATGGTGGCACAGTACTTGTAGGACAAATGGTGAACAAATGCAGCAATGCTACTCATTGGACACTATGTTGAAAATTATTGGATTATCTCTTATTGATCCTGTCTCTCAAGTACCCTTCAAATGAGTTTCTTTTTTATAATCTTTACTGCTTCTGTCTCTGTTCATTTGTCCATTTTCATCGAATCCTAACTATCGATACAGCCTTTCACATTAACATGTTCCTTTGACCAACTCCTTCAATATATCTCCAAGAGTAAAGTTCTTAATGCACATAATTGCTTAAAACCCTTCACTATCCTAATTACAATAATTTATTTGTTTTCTTTTACTTTAGGATGTTACATCCATTCTTAAGGCCCTTCATTTCAAGATTACAGACATGTTTAACTAAGAGCTATACATAACTGTCTATAGTCTGGTTATTAATAATAAACTTCCTGCTTTTGGCACTTCCACGGAAATATTTATTTGCTTCTTTCGGTGTGTATTCATCAGACTGTTTGACGTACTTCTCCTTCAAATAAAAGAATCACATTCAATGACTAAGAGAGTTGCTCTCTACAAAGACTTTTATTCATAATGCCCTTGAAAAAAATGGATTTTTCTGCCATTGTTCTATCATTGTCTTTTCCATTGTGAAAATGTATTAAATATTATTTTCACTTCTGAATTCACATCTGAATTAATATTTGCAAATCTAAAGGAAATGATGACCACATCTAATTAAACTTCAATATCCCAATTGCATAGGAAAGTTTCTATGCCATAATTGATGTTTGACACATTTGTTGAAAGAATTTGAGTTAATTTTTTCATGCAATTGTTTTCTATCATGTGAAGTGTATTTGATATTTTAAAAATGAATGAAAAAAAATGTATTCATTTTCTGTTGCAAATGAATTGCTATTGAAAAAAGACTTTCAACAGTACTTTGTGATGGATATATATGTATTAAATGGTGATACAAATACAAATATATCTAGTAATACAAATACAAATATCTAGTAATATGGTAATTATCTTTGTAAGTTCCATGTGAAACATGATAAAGTATAAATAATAAATAAAGCTATGATACTAATAAAACTGATTTTTGAGGACAATATACAAATAAAATTTGCTTATCTACAATGTCTCATACTAACATGTACTTGAAATCCATACTTTTTTCTAGAATATTACTTCTGGTTTCATCCCAACAATATTATTTTTACTTTGATTTTTCTCTTTTTAAATGAGAAAACAAAAATGAAAATCATCAAAAATGTGGAAATCCATCTATTAAAAATTAATAAAAATATATACTATATTATATAAAAACATTCCTCTTAAAGGTTTGTCTGCTCCAAAAAGGGGAGCAGGTCAACAGATTGTGATTCATTGAGTGTTGTAGAATAATTCAGCAGCCTAAACAAATATCCACTAATGGTCTGTGAATGAGACCCATACATATCTCTGATTCCCAATGGTCTGGTTAACAAAACTTGCCATTTGTTGCAGAATTCTGGCATGAATCAATACATATTGTCTCTCTCTCTCTGAACACACACACACACACACACACACACACACACACACACACACACACACACACACACACACTAGATCAACGTCCATTTCACATTTGGAAAAAAAAATCTACATACAGCAACTTTGTGCAAGGTGATTTTCTTCAATAATCTTACATCACCAAGGAAACAATGACTTAGAAAATTATATATTTTTCTAATTGGTCTTAAGCTCAGTTGGTCACATAATTTGACCCTGGATTTTGAAACTATAAAATTTTCCTTTCTCAGAACAATTAAAACTTTGATTAAAAAAGCAATGTCCATGTAAAAATTCATTAAATATAGAATATATGAAGTGATGTTTCTCTATTTATTTCAGTAGGTTGTCTTTTGAAAACCTGGGATATAAGCACATCTTTTTTTCAAAAAATAATTTTCTTTTTTAATAATTTTTTATTGTAAAAATGCTGTACAAAGGGGTTACAGTTACACTACTAAGGGAATGAGTACATTACCTATTGAGCATAGTTACCTTCTTTGTTTTTCCCCTACCATCCCTTCCCTTCCCACCTCTCCAACTCCTCCCCCCCATCCTACGTTGTAAAGTTCATTTTCAACATAGTGTCTTATATATCTCATTGTTACAATGGGTCAACCTGTATCCTTATTTCATCATTTTGTTATTTACCTTCCCCTCCCCAAATTAGAAAAATGTACATACAAGTTGCAGTGCACCAGAGTCAAATACAGTGAAAACAGGGGTTATACCTTGGGGAAGAACATACAAGAGGAACAAAAAAAATCACATAGTACATTTTAAATGTGTTAAAAACAATAACAAGAAAGAATAATAGGAAATAGCTTTGGTGATGAGTTCAGACAAGAAGTTTTTAGTCTGATTCTCACTTAATGCCTTTTCAGATTCTCCTTTGGTTTCCTCCTGCTGGAAAATGAATAATATTCAGTGAAGTACTTCTACTTCATTATCATTATTTTAGCCATAGTGCTACGGACAATACAGACAGGTGCTGGATGGTACACAGCTACTCCAGAAAGGAGAGGCCCCCCCAGGTATGTGAAGAGCTGGGGAGCACTGTATGCACTATCTGAACGAGTAGTCACCAAGTTCGGTTGTGATGTTCACCAAGTGTCAGCATGACACAAGTTATTTCCCCTTACAAATGTCTCACTGTGAAGTGAACATAGATATTAAATATACAGCACAATAATAATTATGCAAGTCTTCATGAATATGTATATATATTATATCACCTTATACTAACAGTCACAAAGTCAATACTTATGTTAAAACTTTATAATAATCACAAGTCTTACTTTACTTATACACACACACACACACACACACGCGCGCACACACACACACACACACACATATAATGAAGTCATTGTCTATAGGAAAGGGTGATCATGTTCTTCATTTTGTAACCAGATAGAAAAAAACAATGTTTTACACATATAGTCTTTGAACTTCTGTGTTTGAATACATGCCAAGTAAATTTTTTTCTTGAAATTGGTACTGAGAATGACACAGTGTTGCACAATTCTCCAAGCCCTTTAAATGAGGTGCCTTGCTGCTAACATGCTGGGAGAAGAGGAAAACATTGCTCTACAGAAAACCAAAGTACTTGTTTGGGATTTTTTGACAAAGACTTTCCAAGTATACTTTAGATTAAACCAACCAAAGCAAATTTTAGAGTGGTTTAATTTACCACAGAAGGAAAAAAAAAACTAAATTCAAACTAAAAAAATGTTCATACATGGGAAAAGAAACACTGCAACATCACAGAAACTTTCACCTTTCATTTTGTTAGTTTTGAGAGGCAAATTGAGGATTAACATATTATATGGATGATCTTTCACAGATTCTTTAATTTTCATCATCTTTGGCTAACAGTAAGTATTCTTATAAAAACTGATTAGATAACAGTCACTTTGTTGGAACATTATTTGTAGACACATGACTTGTGCTTTATGCTAAGTGATGTCAGCATTGCTGGAAATAAAGCTGTAAACCTGATTTAGATTGTTCAAAATATGATTTTTGGAGGATATTATATGTTAAGTGTTCGACTTTGGAGTATATGATGCAAGCTAGAAATTGATCTTTTTGAGTGGTCTGATATAAATGGGCACTAATACAATACCATAAAGTGAAAATTTAGAATTTGACTTAACGGACATTACAAATGAATGC